GTTATTTGATACACAATGTATAAAATTATGTCATCTCTTGACATCAGTAACAGAAAGAACAGAGTTATAAAGGAACAGAGATTTTGTACGTTATTAAAGTTGGTATCAATTAAAATTAGATTACTTTTTGAAAGTTAAATGCAATTCCCAGTAACCACCAAGAAAATATCTACAGAACAGATAGAAGAGGAAATGAGAGGGTGATTAATAATTTCATGCTTCAAAAATAAACCAATCACAAAGGAATGCAGTAACAGGTTATGAGGATTTTAAAAAGCTATAAAGCATACGAAATACTAATATCAAAGTGACAGAGCTAAGAGCCTCATTATCAATAACCCGCTGTGGCACGGCAGGTTAACACCCTGGACCATATGGGCGCCGGTCGGTGAAGATGGCCCATGTCCTTGGGACCCTGTACCTATATGGCAGGCCTGGAAGAAGCTCCTGGCTCCTGGCTCCTGGCTTTGGATTGGCACAGCTCCAGCCGTTGCGGCCAACTGGGGAGTGAACCATCAGATGGAAGACCTCTCTCTCTCTCTCTCTCTCTCAACTGGGGAGTGAACCATCAGATGGAAGATCTCTCTCTCTCTCTCTCTCTCTCTCTGCCTTTCCTTCTTTCTCTTTCTAACTCTGACTTTCAAATCAATAAGTAAATCTTTAAAAAAATGTAAATGGCATAAACTATCCAATCAAAGGACAGAGATGAGTAGATGGATTAAAAAAAAAAAAACAAGATCCAACTACATGCTATCTACAAGACATTCACTCTAGACACAAAGACACAGCAGTAAAAGACTAGAAGAGAGATTCCATGCAAATAGTAACCAAAAAAGAGCTGGGAAGATTAGAAAAAATAGACTTTAAGTTGTAAAATGCTTACAAGAAACGAAGACACTATATATCAATAAAAAGTTCAATAAAGCAAGATCCTATAAAAGTTGCAAACATTCAGACTAGCAACAGACTCAAAATATTTGAAGGAAAAATTGACAGAATTTAAGATAAGTGAAAGGAGAGCTGGCACTATGGTATAGCAGGTAAAGCCACCACCTGTGATGCCAGCCTGCCATATGGGTGCCGGTTCAAATCCCTGTTGTTCCATTTCCAGATCCAGCTCCCTTCTGGGAAAGCCATGGAAGATGGCCCAAGGGCTTGGGCCCCTACACCCATGTGGGAGACCGAGAAGAAGCCCCTGGATCCTGGTTTCAGTCTGGTCTAGCCCTGGCTGTTGTGGCCATTTGTGGAGTGAATCAGCAGATAGAAAATCTATCTCTGTCTCTCCCTCTCTCTGAGTAAGTCTGCCTTTCAAATAAATAAAATAAATATTTAAAAAAAATAGGTAAGTAAAACAGTTCCACAATAATAGTTGGAGACTACAGTGCCCTATTTTAGATAATAGGTAGACTAACCAGATAGAAGATAAGGAATCAGAGGAACTGAACATCACAATGAACCAACCAGACCTAACAGACATAAACAGAACACTCCACCCAACAGCAGAATAAACATGCTTCTCAAGTGCACATGGGACACCTACCAGGACAGAGGTATATTAGGCCACAAAACAAGTCTCAACAGCTTTAAGGAGGAATGTTTTAAAAGTATCTTCTCCAATCACAATTGGCTTAAATTAGAAATCAGTAAGAAGGAAAACAGAAAAAAATTCATAAACATGTGGAAATTAACACACTCTTAAAAACACTACTGGGCCTGAAAGAAATAAAAAAGGAAAGTGGAAAATCAGCAAAAATAACACAACATATCAAAACATATAGGCTGTAATGAAAGTAGTGGTTGGAGGGAAATTTGTAGTTAAGATGAAAGGGGCTGGCACGGTGTTGCATGGGCTAAACTGCTGTTGGCAATGCCAGCATCCCATATGGGCGCCAGTTCCTGTCCCTGGCTGCTCCACTTCTGATCCAGCTCCCTGCTAATGTGCCTGGAATGCAGCTGAGGATGGCCCAAATGCTTGGGCCCCTGTACCCACGTGGGAGACCCAGAAGACGCCCCTGGCTCCTGGTTTCTGGCTGGCCAGCCCTGGCTGTTGAGGCCATTTGGGGAGTGAACCAGAGGATGAACGATTTCTTCCCCCACCTTCTCTGTGTGTGTGTGTGCACATGCACATGTGTGTATCTCCCTCTTTTTCAGTAATTCTGACTTATAAAAACATAAAATAAATCTTAAAAAAGATGACATATTTCAAATCTATAACCTAAAACTAGAAAATGAAGGGCATACTAACCCTAAAGCTAACAGAAGGCAGGAAATACATATTAGATATAGAGAACAGATAAAAAATCAATAAAACAAAAAATTCTACCTTTGAGAAAAACAACAAACCTGACAAACTTGATAGACTGATGAAGAAAAAAAAAAGAGTACATGCAAGCATCCAGGTTCAAAAGTGAAAGTGATGTTACTATCAACAGCATAAAGACTACTAAGAAACATTATATGCCAACAAAACAGATAAACTAGAAAAAATGGATGAATTCCTTGAAATAAATTACCTAAACTGATTCAAGAAGAGAAACCCTCAACAAACTTTTAAAAAGTAAAGAGACTGAGTAACTAGTCTAAACCTCCCAACAAAGAGAAGTCCTACACAGAGGACTTCAGCAAGGAAATCTATTAAACTCTTAAGAAAGAATTCACAATCCTTCTAAAACTTTGGCAAAAAATTGAACAGGAGCAAATGCTTCTGACCACATTTTATGAGGTCAGTATTATCCTGATACCAAAGCCAGATAGATGTATCACAAGTAAAGAAAATTATAGACCAATATCACTTATGAATATATATGCAAAAATTCTCAAGATACAAATAGAAACCAAATAGTACATTAGAAGAAATATTCACCATGACCAAGTGGGATTCATCCCAAGAAGTTCAACATCAAATCAATGAACGGGATCCATCACATTAAAAAGCGAAGTAGGGGAGACATAATCATTGCTCTGGACAAAGAAAAAGAATTTGACAGAACCCAACAACCTTTCATGACAACATCTCAGAAAACTAACAAGGGCTGGCACTGTAGCTCACTTGGTTAATCCTCCACCTGTGGCGCCAGCATCCCATATGGGCGCTGGTTCTAGTCCCAGCTGCTCCTCTTCCAGTCCAGCTCTCTGCTGTGGCCCAGGAAGGCAGTGGAGGATGGCCCAGGTCCTTGGGCCCTTCACCCGCATGGGAGACCAGGAGGAGGCACCAGGCTCCTGGCTTTGGATCAGTGCAGGGCGCCGGCCGTATTGGCCATTTGGGGGTGAACCAACAGGAGGAAGACCTTTCTCTCTGTCTCTCTCGCACTGTCTAACTCTATCCGTTAAATCAATAGCAATAAAAAAAAAAAGAAAGAAAGAAAAGAAAACTAACAAGAGAGGAAAAATTCCACAACACAATTAAAATACCTACAAAAACCCATGGCCAACATCATACTCAATGGGTTAAGATCAAAGGTTTCCCCCTAACAACAGGGATGAGGCAAGACACTCACTTTCCTTGCTGCTGTACAACACTGTAGTGTTAAGTTTTAACCAGAGCTATTAGGTAGGAAACACAAAGTACACAAATTGAACAGGAAGAATGCAACAATGTCAACTCTCAGATGACAGAACCCTATGTATAGAAAACCCCAAAGAACCCACAAGAGAGCTACTACTGCAAATAAACTCAGCAAAGTAGCAGGGTACAAGACTAATACCCCTCCCCCAAAATTAGTTGTTTTCTACACTAGCCATGAACACTATACAAAGGAAATGAAGGACATCATCTCATTTGAAATATTACTGAAACAAATTAAGTATGCTGAAAACTAGATAACATCAGTGAAAAATCACCAAAGATCTAAATGAATGGAAAGGCATGCCATGTTCATGGATAGGAAGACTTAAAAACTGTTAATACAGCAAGACTCTCCAAAGCAACCTACAGATTCAACACATTCCAAAGGCCTTTTTTCAAGAAATGAAAAGGCAACCATCGAATCCATATGGAACTGCAAAAATCTTCCAACAGTTAAAGAGTATTGAAAAAGAGCTGAATTAGAGGACTTACAGTTCACTTCAACACTTACTACAAAGCTACAGGAACTGAGAAGGTACAGTCCCAGCACGAGGAGAGACAGACAAAAACAGTCAGAAGCAAACTCAGAAGTGGTTGGTGTATTTTCAGCAAGGGTGCCATGAGTACCCGTCAATAAGGCGTTAGGGAAAGTGAATAACCACACGAAGAAGAAGGAAGCCAGAAAGGTCTAGCGGCTGTGAATGGGCGTACAGCCAGGGGGCGTTACATAAATATTAGTTATATCATCACAATAACGAAGGCGTCCCCCCATTCAGCCAAAAGAAGGCCCAATGGACTGGCCAAGCAAGGAACAAGGGATCCAGAATGAAACTCAAGTTTTCTGGCGGGAGAAATGCGGTCCACCCCCACAGGGAGCAGCAAAGAGGAGCAGAAGCAGACCTGGAGACGAACTCGATCATTAAGAGGCACGGCCACCGTGGGAGCACCAACGGGAGAGCGCTCGGAGGCGGTGGGCGCCGCAGCCAGCACGCTCTAAGCAAGGGAGCCTTGGGGATGCCAGACGCTGCCCTCCGCCTCCCACGCCCCCGGGGCGGGAGCGACTTACCCAGGCTCACGCGCGGACGCGCCCTTCAGGCCCACGCAGGCTCCACACAGTAGAGGCCCAGCTGGGGAGGAGCAGCTGAAAGGAGGACCCGAGGCAGGGCGTCATCGCGAAGCGCACTGGGCTGGAGCACCGCCGCGCTCGGCGTTAGCGGAGATGCCCGAGGCCACGGTCCTGGACCCTCGGCCCGCGCCCCGCCCACACGACGGAAAGTCCCTCTCGGGGCCCCGTCGTCCTTCGAGCCTTCCGATTGGCGAAGAGGACCATGGGACCTGGAAGTTGTCTTTGTCCGGCCAGGGCTGCCCTTCCGGTTCCGTTGGGTCCCCCCTTTGGCTCAGGTTCCCTGCCCCTCCCCCTTCCCGGAGCCCCGAGGGGCCGGAGCTCCTGGCGGTGCCGGATCCTGACGGCGGCCTTCCCCCGGGTCTGTAAGTTCGGAGGCGGCCGGAGCGCCGGGCTGGGGTGCGGGGTCTCTCGAAATGGAGCCCCCTTGGGGCCCTGGATCTGCTGGGACCTGCACTGGGATGGGAGCCGAGAGGCTGGCCTAGGCCCCAGGGGACTTCAGGCGCCTCTGGCCCGGCCCACGCTGCGCCCCGCCCCTTTCCCTCCCTGGCTGCTGGAGCGGGGATTCTGAGGATGCCCGGGGACCACCTGCTGGGACCCCACGCGAGGCCCCCCGCAGTTAGCCGGGACCCCGGACTCTGGTGTCTTGTAGGAACGGAGCGCCAGAGTGGAGGCCTTGAGGAGCCTAGGGAGCCAGGGCTAGGCCTTTAGCGCCAGCCATCGAGAATCACGAGGAGGTCTGAGCTCCTCTTTCGCTGGGGTTCGCTGTAGTTCAGCCACTTACTGCAGCACCTTCTACATTCCTGGCGTGATGCCCGGAGCTTGGGATTTGTAAGATACCGGTTCAGTTTTCAGGTTCAGTCTTGGGGCCATGTATAAACAAGTATGTGCTCCCGCTATATCTGTACCTGCCCATCTATCTGATCATTCGTATCTGTATGAGCTGTGTCAAGGGGGCATGTGTTGGGAAGGCTTTAGAAATAGAGTGGCGTCTGAATTACCCCTCTTGGCGAGGATGAAGTGTGGGAGAGCTCTTCAGGCAGACGGAGCAGTTGAAATGCTTTGGAGTAATGACAACATAACACGTGTAGAGAAGAGAAGATTGGGATGGAGGAGACTGTGAGAGTAGACTGAGGTCCAAATAGTGAAAGGTTTGATCCTGAAGGTGATGGATAGTGTTTTTTTTTTAACGTTTTGAACAGGAGACTGATGTGGTCAGATTTTTTTTCTTAATTTTTCTTTTAAGATTAATTTATTTTATTTGAGAGAATTACAGAGAGAGGAGGAGAGAGACAGAGAGAACTTCCTTTGGCTGGTTCACTCCCCCAAATGGCTGTAACATCCAGGGCTGGGCCAAGCTGAAGCCAGAAGCCAGGAGCTTCATCTGGGTCTCCCACACGGGTGCAGGGGCTCAAGGACTTGGGCCAGCTTCTGCTTTCCCAGCTGCATTAGCAGGGAGCTGGTTCAGAAGTAGAGCTGTGGAGACTCAAACCGGCACCCACAGGGTATGCTGCCATCACAGATGGCGGCTCTACCTGCTACGCCATGGTGCCAGCTCCATTGTTTTTTTCTTTTAAAGATTTATTTTATCTATTTGAAAGGCAACGTTACAGAGAGAGAGGGAGATCTACCATCCTCTGGTTCACTCCCCAGATGGCAGCAACAGCCAGGGCTGAGCCAGTGCAATGCCAGGAACCAGGAGCTTCCTCTTGGTCTCCTACATGGTTGGTAGAGGTCCAAACGCCTGGACCATGTTCCACTGCTTTTCCCATTATCCAGAAGCTGGATCAGAAGTGGAGCAACTGAGACATGAACTGGTGTCCATATGGGATGCCGGCATCACGGCTGCAGCTTTACCTGCTAGGCCACAGGGCTGGCCCCCAAGGTTGGAGATTATTTTGAAGAAGTAATGGGATGAGCCTTGTGAGAGGCAGTGAAGTCTGCAATAGAGTTAAGACAATGTTACTAGAAAGGAGGAAAGAATTGTTGGCTTGAGATAAAGTTGTCTGAACTACTCAATTGTATGTCCATGGATTAAAAGGTAGCAAGTCTCGGTCTTTGATTGTGGCACTTGAAGAATGGTAGTGCCATGATCAGAAGCAAAACTCGAAGGTTAGTATAGATTACAAATTCATCTTGAGGGGTGGGGATTCTGTTGAGTTAAAGTCTAAGGAGATGGCCACACAGAGCTGTTCAACGTAGGGCTGGAAATGCACCTCTGGAGATCAACCTAAACATGGTGGCTAGAGGTAAAGGTTTGAGCTATCAGCATAAGGTGAAAGCCATGGTGTGGGAATAGCTGGCATCAGGAAGGGAAAGCCGAGAAGCCAGTTCGGGGGTAGGGGTTACATTTAGCATAAAATAAAATTGGAACTAGTAGTCAATATAGTAGCAGAAACAGAGACACCAAATCAAGTGTAAGGGTGTAGGTCCCAGCAATCATGAGAAAAGGATTTTGAGAAGAGTCCATAGATCCACTTGTTCACAGCGACTAGGGAATGAGAAAAAAGGGATTGCATTTCTTTGGTAAGAGATGATTAATGTTTTTGTTTGTTTTTAATCTTAGAGGCAGAGAGAGAGAGTGAGCTCCTGTTTTCTCATTTCTCAAATGCCAGCAGTGGGCAAGGCTAGACCAGGCTGAAGCTTGGAGCTGGGAACTTGCTCCAGATCTCCCACGTGCGTGGCGGGAACCCAGTTACTTGAGCCATTACCTTTGCTTCTCAAGTTCTCCGTTGGCAATAGGTTAGCGTCAGGAGCTGAAACTGGGTCTCAAACCCAAGTGTACTGGAGTGAGATGCAGGCGTCTTCACTGCTAAGCCAAACACCACACCTGTTAGTGGTCTTTTAACAAATGAAGTGATGATAGATTGGAGACTACAACTGATTTGATGTAAAATGGGAATAAGAAAAGGATACAAATGAAGGATTTCACAAGGAAATTGACAGGCTTTATCTATTTACCTAACACATGGTTAGAGGTTGCATGCTAGGCACTGTTCTAATCTCTTTAAAAAGTTGACTCATTTATTTTTGATAACAGTCCTATGAAGTAATATATATATAGTGAAAAAAAAAAAGTAGATTCATTTACCTGAAAGGCAGAGCACACAGAGAGAGGGAGAGGCAGAGAGACATTTCCCATCTCTTGGTGCACTTACCCGAATGGCCACAGTAGCCTAGTCTGGACCAACCCAAAGCTGGGAGCCAGGATCTCCATCCTGTTCTCCCACAAGGGTGGCAGGGGTCCAGGTATTTGGGCCATCTTCTGCTGCCTTCCCGGAAGTATTAACAGGAAGCTGGAGTGGAAGCACAGTAGCCAGAACTTGAGCCAGTACTCATATGGGATGCCATATCTCAAGTGGCAGCTTAACCCGCTGCACTAGAACACCAGTCCCAGTGATTTGACTGTTGATGGGAATATTGAAGCTGAGTGATTAAGAAACTTGTTGCCAAGATCTCACAGCTAGTAAGCGCTTGAACAGGCTTTTGCTTTAGGAAGTAGGACTCTATGTGTGTTTTCAATTGTTGTGCTATGATGCAGTGACTGAATGTGGACTATATTCAGTCAAAGGAGTAGAATAATTTTAAGCAAAGATAGGCTAATTGATTAAAAAAAAATGAAGAGACTTGGAAGGAGACTCAGGTTGGGAAGGTAAGTAACGGATTTGTGTTTGTGTTTATATATAATCTTAATTCCTATTTAAAGTCTTCTACTCTTCGTTAATTTAGGTTAATTTGTTCTGATCTCATGCTTTCATTTATCACATGGCATTTATAATCGGGTCTTCTCTTTGGTTTCAGAGCGATATCTAACCAGCTGATAGGTTTTCATTTTGTCATGCAGGCTTCTCTGGCTGAACACTTTTTTTTTTTTATTTTATTTTTTTTATTTTTTGACAGGCAGAGTGGACAGTGAGAGAGAGAGACAGAGAGAAAGGTCTTCCTTTTGCCGTTGGTTCACCCTCCAATGGCCGCCGCGGCCAGCGCGCTGCGGCCGGCGCACCGCGCTGATCCGATGGCAGGAGCCAGGAGCCAGGTGCTTTTCCTGGTCTCCCATGGGGTGCAGGGCCCAAGCACCTGGGCCATCCTCCACTGCACTCCCTGGCCACAGCAGAGAGCTGGCCTGGAAGAGGGGCAACCGGGACAGAATCCGGCGCCCCGACCGGGACTAGAACCCGGTGTGCCGGCGCCGCTAGGCGGAGGATTAGCCTAGTGAGCCGCGGCGCCGGCCTGGCTGAACACTTTTAAGACCAGACTCCTGATCACCCCCTCCAGTATTGCTTAGCCTAGGGAATGAAACATAATCCAAGATATCAGTCACTTACACTGAATATCCTAGAGTCATCTTGACACTTTTGTCTTTTATATAACTTTGGTCAGCAAGATGATCAGTTTTTTTGAAATGTCTCTCAAATCGGTTTCCTCTTTCCATCTATATCATCATTGTCTCTATTCAGGCTCTTGTCCCTTCTGGCTTGTTCTGTTAGAGTAATAGCTTATTAAAAGGCTGCTACGCCTCCACATTCACTATTGTATAAACCATTGTCCATAAATTTTCATTTTTGAGTTACTAGTTTTCTTTTTATTTATTCATTGTAATTTATGTGTTAGAGAGACAGAGTTCCTATCCTAATTCCTTCACTAAATGCCCACAGTACAATGCCTACTGTTAGGTCAGGACCAAAGCCAAGAGATGGAAACTCAATACAGGTTTCCCAAGTAGGTAGCAGACACCCAATTATTTGAACTTTCATGGTTGCCTGTCTGCATCTGTATTGTCAGGAAGCTGGATTCAGGAGCCGTGAGCTGGGTATCAGACCCAAGTACTGCAGTGTGGAATGCAGGCCTCTTAACTGCCAGCTGAAACACCTGCCTCAGTTTATAGTTTTAGACAGTGCAGGGATCTAGGTCTCCTACATCTCCAGTGCTGGAGAAGTGAAATAGAACAGGTATTTTGTAGTAGCTTGAATTGAGGTTACTTTAGTTAAGCTTTGCCATGAGTATAGGGATTTAGAGAAGGTAGTAAAATATTGCGGAAGTAAGCATTGAAAAAGCATGGCAGACAATCAAGGGCTGCGCTTTAGGGGCAGGTGTTTGGCTAACAGTTAAAACTCTGGTTCAGACTCCTAAATCCCAATTTGGAGAGCCTGGGTTTGAGTACTGGTTCAGCTCCTAAAGCAAGCTTCCTATTGATACACCTGGGAAACAGCAGGTGATGGTTCAAGTTCCTGGGTGACCCTAAATTGATTTCCTGGCTCCTGGCTTTGATTCAGTGAGGCCCAGCCATTGCAGGAATTTGGAGAGTGAATCAATGGAAGGGCACTCTCTTGGTCTTGCTCTCCCTTTCTGCCTCTCAAATAAATAAAATAATAATATTTTTGAAAAGACTGAGCTGTGAAGGTTTACACGCTTTAATGAAGCTTGGGGGAATAATCCAAACAATGGTGGAAAACTGCAATCAGTATTACCTAACTTTTCTACCTCTATTCAACAGTTTAAAAATAACTAGGGCAGGAGTTGCAGTGCAATGGATTAAGACACTATTTGGGATGCTCGCTTCCATATCAGAGTGCCTGGTTCAATTTGACTCTTTCATTTCTGATCCAGCTTTCTGCTAATGTGCCTGGAAGGCTACAGAAATGGAATTCCTGGCTTCCAGCTTCAGCCTGGCCTAGACCCTGCTGTTGTGGTCATTTGGTAATTGAACCAGAAGATGGGGGATCTTTCTGTGTGTCTGCCCTTCCCTGTCACTGTGCTATTTTATTAAATAAATAAACTTTTAAAAAAAAGAATGAACTAGATCTTTATTAATATAAACAGCATTCAAAAATAATAAGTAAAAAAGTTGCAAAGCAATACTCATGTATGTCTGGTTTATGTATAAGAAACATAAGTGACAGGGCATATAGAGGTATTGTTTTCAAAATGATAGTAGAGAGGCCAGGAAAACTGAGTACTGAGTGGTAGGCCATTGGGAAAATAACTTTATTGACAATACTTAAAAATTTTCTGGGAAAGATATGTTTCTGTATATTTTACTTATGGCTTAAAGTCTAAACAAAACAAAACAGTGAGAACTTGGGAGAATATAATGCATGAAAGTTACCCAAAAGAGGAAGAAGATTGAGGTTTACAGAGAAAGGCTCTTGTGTAATACAAGCTCTTTGAAAGGGACAAAGATTTCCAAGTAGTTGTAAGCAAAAGGCTGAAAGATAAGGGTGCTTTTATAAGTTAGATGAGGAAACACTGATATACCTCTTCAGGGGTTATTATCCAGAAAGAGTTTTCCTTATCGGTAATTATTAGGTCCATTTGAGATAAGGGACTTGGGTATTTTCTCGCTGCTCATAGTATAGCAACAAACACTGTCTAATCTGGAATATTCATTAGTCAATCCTTTTGGATTACTTCTGTTTGAACAATGGAAAAGAAGAGGTCAAATTTGTTATTATTATAAAGTAATTATGGAAGAACTGTGTAAATACAAAGAGAAAGCTATCTTAAGTGAGACTATTCCTATTACATTGATGTTTGAGAAATTAGTCATTCAAAACTTGCTAAGAAAAACTTGGCAGTATTTAAATTAAATGTTGGTAGCCCAGGCAACAGATAAGACCTGAGCCATGGCAGAGATAGAAAAAAGGGGAATTTGAGAACCATTCTGAAGAAATCAACAGAATATAGTGATTAAGTCTTTATTTTTCTTTTCAGAAGCAACTAGGTCTTTATTTTACTTGATCAGTTTTTTTTTACTTTCTTTTCAATTGCAAGTTCTATAATTCAGAATTATATAAGTAATCTTTATGCATATTATGAATGATTACTACTGTACTTAGAAGTTACATTCAGTTGAAGACTCTGAAATCAAATATATTCATAACTTCTACTTGCAATTGGCATTATGTTTCAGTCCACAAAAATAAACAAACAAAAGATGAAGAAAGAACAAAGTCAAAATAGATGAGAAAGGATGGTACAACAGGGTTTCTGGCATAAAATGCAATAAGCAATATGGCTAATTCACAAGTGGCTTACCATAAAAGTCCTCTGTACTTGACATAAATTTGGCCAGAAGGTGCACTTTTTGTTCTCAAACATAAACATACTGAAGCATAACTAGAATACATAAAAGTATACAATCACAACTGTACAGCTCAGTGGATTTTCTTGGCCCACATTTGTGATACCCAATATGAGGAGAGAAATCAGTTAACATGGTTAATATTATCCTTAACATAATGCTGCACCAAACCTAGTTGTTTCTTACATAGATTTTGGCATCAATCACCTTGGACAGAAATTCTAGCTCACTTTTCCCCTATAATAGATTCAGCAAGTTATTTACTGTTCTCTAAGCTTGAGTGCCCTTATGAAAAGCAGGGGTGATAATAATAATAAAACCCACCCGTAGAGATTTTCAGAATTAAATGGGTCAGTTAAAGTATTTAACACTGTAGTTGAAATGTAGCAAGGACTCAGAAAGACTAAGTATAATTTCTCTTATTTTTAGATAGAATTAAACCTGTTGCTTTTTATTTTACCCATATTTAAAACATAAAATTGAATTTTCACTTGTCAACACTAATTTAGAAACAAACCCTAGAATCAAATTTCCCCCAGGGCACTCAAAAGAGGATATCATGATAAGGAATGATGTCTACCACAGCTCAATAATAATTTCATAGAGAACATTAAGAGTTCATTATTCTGCTGGGTTTTGTTGAATGAACTGTGTAAAGTGTAAGAAACGGTCCTTGTCATCAAATAACTGCCTATTGGAAAGAGAAGCTAATGATAGAAAGTTAAGGGATAAACTGTGTGGCCTGGAAATAAAAGTTTAGCAAGGGGTGACAGTAGAGTGGGCTGACACGTATTAGGGAAAATTTCCTAAATAAACAGAATAAATTTTCCTCACATTCTTGGACTGCAGCAGGCAGAACAGAGCAAGCACCTTCCTGAGATACCTGTTTGGCTGCTTCTGTTGGTAAGTTTCTTTAAGACTGATGGATAGGAAGTGAATGAAATTGTATTTCAGCTTCCAATATTTAGAGCATCAAGGAACAAGTGTCCCTGAGGTTAGTTCTCTAAGGCATTGTGAGTGCTGTCATATTACAGGTGGAAGCAGTTAATGCTTATTTCTGGGTGTGAGTAGGAAAATACTGACCTCAGAGTATCCTAGTCAATGTTAATGTATTCAAGACCAGTTAAACGCTAAAAAAGAATGCCACTTTTGTTTGGACACTTGAAACAATAGTCATTTGTATAACTTGTGGTTATGAATTAGGCCATTTATTGTTCCAATTCCAGAATGAATATTTGAAGTTACTGCAATTGCTAAAGTTGACCAATGATATCACAGTTTTGCTGTTTTAAATTACTGACATATTCCCTGTATATTCTAGCATTTTCTTTTATGTTTTCATGCTGTCTTTTCTCTGATGCTACATTTGCTTCTCTACATCCCTCTTCTCACTGCAGTTCTAATTTTATTGTGATTGTTATCTGTACACTCAGAATGTCACGCAAAGGAAAAGCTTATGCTTTGTATATATACATTTGTTAATATACTTGGGCCACACCACTTTCCCCTCCTATGTTTGACATCCCTTTCAATGACAGTCTCTTTTAGCTGAACTCCTCTAAGTTTAGAATCTTTGCACATCTCTTTCTTTTTCATCCTCTATATCCAGTTACCAAGTTCTTTGAAATGTCTTTTGTTATTTCCTGTTGTCCCATTCCCATTTTTATTCCTTCCTAGCTCTGTGGCTTCAGACCTGCTTAATGCTTCAGCAGACACTCAGCTGGTATTCCTTCCACTGTTAAACTAATCCCGAGAATCTGCTGTGTGTTTAGCACAATATCAGGTGATGGGTCTATATACCAATTTGTACAGAAGAGAGTTGGCCAGTAATAGAACAAGCAATGTGACCACAATAAAGTAGAATTCAAAGTAAAGGAAAAAAATTTCTCTCCAGAAGATGAATCCCAGCATTAGCCCCAGTAAAAAGGGTGGGGATGTTTCCCTCTAATGCTATGAAACTTGCTGTTTGGAGAGGAAGAATAAGGATTTCATGAAGAGTTTTAAGTGTTGTGATAGAGGTACTACGCTATGGGATCAGTAGATACAATTCTTCTACCTTTAACAGATCAGGAAAGATCCTCTCAGAGGCAATAAAGAAGTTAGAATTGCTTAACAGATAGCTTTTTAAACTGAGGAAAGAAATGTGATAAGGCCTAGAGTCAATAGAGTATTATTATTTACCAGGCACTGAGGAACAGGAATAAAACCTAGACAATGCCATCATGAACTGATAGTCTATAGAGCCTGTGGAGTTCAGTGTTACAGAAGCTAACATGAAAAAGATTGGGCTTCAGGGTCCGGACGTAGCCAGGAGAAGCTGGTTGTCTCCTTTGACTGAACTAGAGGGTTGGTGAATGCACACACTTCAAGGTGAACTTTCTGATGTACGAAGATTGCAGATCTGTTTCTCAAAGATAGACCTGACATTTACTAATCTCATAGAGGATAGGTATGTAAACAGAATATCACTTTATTATTTTTACAGTGACTGGTAGACTGGGATTATGATTTTGGCATGGTTAATTCATTCCTCTCCTTTAGAGAGACATAAGAAGCCAAGTTTATAAGAAAATCATTTGAAGAGTATGCAATTAAAACATGGGGACTTTCTCCAAAGGAATTGCTAAATAAAGGGATCAGTATGTAGAGAATTTTGGCAGCGATACTTCTCTCTGGTTGAATGGATTGTGGCAGTGTTTACCTTTATTACTAGCTTCAATTAATCAGTTTATATTCAAGAGGTAAGTCTTCATCTCGGAGACAATGGGAAGTCATTGAGGGATTTTATGCAGCGGTGGGGTATAGTCATATCTGTGTTCCTGACAAGTGACATATGATAGTATACAAATTGGATTAAAGGGAATAGAAGCTGAGCAACAAGGAAATCTTTCTGAACCAGTTCTAGTAGTCCACATTGCACATGATGAGCGATGTTGGGTAAATAGGGATAAAAAGGAAAGAACTGAATCTGGTAGGGATTGATTAGATTCACTTTACTCCTACTCAGATTTCCACCAAGTAGCTCATCTTGTTTTTCTATATCAAGTGTTTTTTAAATTTTCTATTATAAATATTCCTTAAAAGAGTGTTTTACATCCTTAAAAGAATGTACTGGATAAAGAACTGTGCTTTTGACCAGCTAAATTCTAAAAAAAGAATGCCACTTTAGGTCTGTGACTTTCATTTTATCTCAGAAATATGTGTTTGAGTAAATTTATATAGTTTCAAACAGGAAAGAGTTTTCATGAATGAATGGGACAAGCAGTCTTTGCAATTCTTTAAAATAGAAAGCAAAGGAAGAGTTTTTTGTCCCATAAAAAAACAGGTTCACAGTTTCATGCAGAAGAAAATTACTTCATTTTTACTTATGTTGGGATGTTTTATTGTATGTTAAACCTGGTAGAATTCTCATGTGAAAAAATATACTCTTTGGACTACCTCAAGCATTGTTCTTGTATTCAAGTTGAGTGAATGCCAAGCTGTGAACATTGAAACAAGTCCCCACTAAGTGCCAATGATACTTGATGTTGCTTTAACAGTCTTTGAAAACAGTTATAGTAGCTTCTCTTCAAGGAAGTTTCTTTTGGATATATACAAAACAGATATCACCACACAAATTTGGTTTTGGAAGGTAAATCCAGGTTTCTTAATTGTTTGAATTTCTTTAAATTCAACCTTTTTACATTTCTGTTCCTTAGGTCTGCCAAAATGTCTGAAAGATCAGATCTCCTTCACTTCAAGTTTGAAAATTATGGAGATTCAATGTTACAAAAAATGAACAAATTAAGAGAAGAGAATAAATTTTGTGATGTTACAGTTCTCATAGATGATATTGAGGTACAGGGGCATAAAATTGTCTTTGCTGCAGGTTCCCCCTTCTTAAGAGACCAGTTTTTACTGAATGATTCCAGAGAGGTGAAAATCTCCATATTACAGAGTTCTGAAGTGGGGAGACAATTGCTCTTATCCTGTTATAGTGGTGTGCTGGAATTCCCTGAGATGGAACTGGTAAATTACTTGACTGCTGCAAGTTTTCTTCAAATGAGCCACATTGTAGAACGATGTACGCAGGCCCTGTGGAAGTTTATAAAGCCAAAACAACCAATGGATAGTAAAGAGGGATGTGAACCGCAGAGTGCTTCTCCCCAGGCAAAAGAACAGCAGGGAGATGCCAGAGGCTCCCCAAAGCAGGACTCACCTTGTATTCATCCATCTGAAGACAGTATGGATATGGAGGACAGTGATATTCAGATTGTTAAGGTAGAATCTATTGGGGATGTATCAGAGGTTAGAAGTAAAAAAGATCAGAACCAGTTTATTTCTTCTGAACCCACTGCTTTACATTCATCAGAGCCCCAGCACTCCCTGATAAATTCAACTGTGGAAAACAGAGTAAGTGAAATAGAACAAAACCATCTCCACAATTATGCCCTCTCTTACACAGGCAGTGATAACATCATCATGGCCTCAAAAGATGTCTTTGGGCCTAATATTCGAGGTGTAGACAAAGGCCTACAGTGGCATCACCAGTGCCCAAAGTGTACCAGGGTGTTCCGTCACCTGGAGAACTACGCCAACCATTTAAAAATGCACAAACTCTTTATGTGTCTACTCTGCGGCAAGACTTTCACTCAGAAAGGCAACCTTCATCGACACATGCGCGTACATGCCGGAATTAAACCTTTCCAGTGTAAAATCTGTGGGAAAACCTTCTCTCAGAAGTGTTCCTTACAGGATCATCTTAACCTTCACAGTGGAGATAAGCCCCATAAGTGTAACTATTGTGACATGGTTTTTGCACATAAGCCAGTTTTGAGGAAACACCTTAAACAGCTGCATGGCAAAAACAGCTTTGATAATGCCAATGAGAGAAATGTGCAAGACCTCACGGTGGATTTTGATTCTTTTGCATGTACAACAGTCACAGACTCTAAAGGGTGTCAGCCACAACCTGATGCAACACAGGTCCTGGATGCAGGTAAACTGGCCCAAGCTGTCCTGAACTTAAGGAATGATAGTACTTGTGTGAATTGAGGAGGGGCTTCATGCTCAGAGCTAGAGCTGACCGAGAAGGTGGCAATAGGCTGAGTCTTTTTAGGAGTGATTTTGCTAGTTCAACTTCTCCAAAGCCTCTGTACACAGGTGGTAGGGGACAAGTCAAAGCACTAATAGGCCAGGCAACTCCCCACTTGGAGTGGTTTTGCCTTCCTTTTGTCCTCTCCTGTTTTCAGTTTTTGAATTATTTATCCTGTGATGTCTGTTTTCCTTTCCTAAGGAATAATTCCATTTGTCTACCTAATGTCGACTTATGTCTTAGACTGACACTATTTTAGGCCTTTCATCAGGCACATTCCGAAGGTACCAACAAGTTAATATGCCTAATTTTCTTTAATAGGTGGTATGCTGAGAGAAATGAATAGTAATTTTGGGGGGCAGAGAAGAGGCTAAGATATGAAGTGATATTGCTGTTGACTTAAATATGTGATAGAACTATCTGGTTGCCTATTGATAATTCATACATGTCTGATAAATGAATGAATCTGCTTCCTACCATTTGTATTTGTCTTGGAGCTGGCTATAAAGAAGTATATTGGTTTGTTCTGTACTGTTTCCAACAGTATTGTAGCCCAACTTCATTTCATTGACATGTTCACATAGAGCAGAGGACATTATTTTTAGCAACACCTGCAAACAGATAGACATCACCATGAGGAGAAAAATCAACAAAGGATAGAAATATAATTACACAACACCACATAGGATGTTTTCCTGATAGCAGTCCCACCAAGAGGCCAGATGCTTATTCTTAGTATGTAACTTTCTTGTTGATGGGTGTGAAATCAAGATTGCTCTAGGCTATGGTCTCTTTAAAAACCATCTGTTTGGTGGTCTCTGATGTTAATTTCACAGTCCAGCTATCAGAACGGTGAGTTTGGCCCTTAATTAGAATCTTCTCTGGTGTGCTGTAGGAATCTGTGAATTTCCATTTTCTGGTGTACCTTCTGTCTTGGCTGGAAAGAGTTAAGCCTCACACAAAAGGGGCAATCAGATGTTTGCAACAAGATACTCATCTTAAAGGCACACTGTCCCACCTTGACACCTTTTAAATATTGCTAGTAGAAAGTTGATCTTCAATACAGCAAAACAAAAACAGCTCTTTTCCCTCAAGGACATTATACTTCAGATTTAAAATTTTAAATCTTATTGCTGACTCATGAGTTTGATATAGGTAATAGAAGTGTTAACAGTCCTTTGAGAATCTTAATAGAGCATTATTCTACTTTTTTCATTTAAGTTCAGGCATTCAAAGCACAAAGAGGTGGCCTGACCAAGAGTGGCAATAGTAGATAAGTGACTACTTAGGAGCTGGGATCTCCTTCTCAATATCCCTTGGCTTAAAAAGTTTTAGTATATGATGAAGAATGATGTAGTAGCAAGAAGTTCCCAGTTGGCACTTGACCTTTGTATCTCCCTCGTGGCTTTCAGACAGCCTGCATTTTGCCAACAAAATACCACAGAGGTATAGTCAGATGAGTTTCACACTGTTCTCAAGCAAGTCACTGACTTAACTGTGTGTTGGTTAGGGAGGGAAAGAGCAAGTAAGAATAATGTGATAAGGATCCAAATGTGAAATTGATTTTGTCTGGGAAACAATGTTTACATAGTTAACATCAGGGTTTTGTTTTATCATTTTCAGCTGTGAGAGTGTATGCACAAGTAACCCCAAAATTAGGCTTAATTTGTATAGTTGGAGGAAATTCTTAAATTTTCAATGTGATACATTTACATGTAAGTCAGATTTTAAGTCTGATTGCTATATTTTGTTCAATTATTTCAAATGCAAATACATGTACAGTTGAATTGGTAAGACCAATAGGTACCTTATATCCATCACTCATTCTGTGCTTCCTAGCATTCTGATTTTCATATGATCCAGCCAAAGAGTACCAATACTATACAACAGTCTCTGTCATGTAAATCCGTGTTTTTGGCATTCTCTCAAAACATCATCTCTTCACAGGAAAGTTTCAAGTTTGGAGTGCTTCCCTTGCTCATATTCATGTTCTGTTTGTGTTACTGGTTTGAAGACTAAAAGGCACGAGTTCAAATAAGATTGGTCTCTTTGGTTGGAGACTAGTTCTGGGTTCATTCAGGTATTCAAGAAACATTGAATACGCACCTACTGTTGCCAGGCACTATGCTAGATACTGAGGATATGAAGGTAAGATTGATAACAGTCCTGCCCTCATGGAGCTCATAGTCTCATGTGGTCTTAGTGAAACAAGGTCTCAATTGTGATTTTATCCTAGGAATAATCAAACTGCCTTGCTTTGATCATTTAAAATCAGTATTTTTATGGTTTTTATATCAACAAAACTTCATTCTCACTGTTTGCAAATGCAAACCACTGATTTTCAGTCTCCTCCATTTCTTGGCTGGAGAAGTGTTCTGTTTCTGTGAGACATTTTCTAATTTTGGTGGGACTTGACTTTTCTCCTTCTTTGCATACATGTTTTTAGATTATATTGCAAAGAGATCTCAAGTTACTGGCATTATCAAGTATGTTTTGTAGGGGAAGATGACTTTAAAACTAGTCATATTCCTGTAGAGAAGGAAGATATTTTTAAAACCTTAGTCTTCATTTGTATTTGTATTTTGTGGATCCACAGTATAAGTAAAAAGGAGAAGAGGACTCTCTTCACCATAGTTTGGTTTTTTAAAACATTACTGTTTCACACTTATTTATTTATTTAATTTTGAAGACGAACTCCAAACTAAAGTGGCTCTGAGGTATACCAGATGTGATTTTGTTTGACTACATTAGAAGATCTATATGTGGAAGGTGACCAGTGTCACTGCTTCTAAAATATTGTCCTAAACAAACCCAGAACATTTTATTTCAGCTCGTGAATAGCTGTTCTAAATCTGTTGTATGTTAGACATACTATGAACTACCTCTTCACTTATTATGGGGAAGTTTCCTTAATAAAAGTATGACAGTTAAAACTGGTGTCTGTAGTTTATTTTCTTTTTCCTCTCCTGCTTTCCTTTTCGCTTGCTTGAATTTGTTCTTTAAGATTTATTTATTTATGGCCGGCGCCGTGGCTCAATAGGCTAATCCTCCACCTTGCGGCGCCGGCACACTGGGTTCTAGTCCCGGTCGGGGCGCCGGATTCTGTCCCGGTTGCCCCTCTTCCAGGCCAGCTCTCTGCTATGGCCAGGGAGTGCAGTGGAGGATGGCCCAGGTGCTTGGGCCCTGCACCCCATGGGAGACCAGGAAAAGCACCTGGATCCTGGCTCCTGCCAACGGATCAGCGCGGTGCGCCGGCTGCAGCGGCGGCCATTGGAGGGTGAACCAACGGCAAAAGGAAGACCTTTCTCTCTCTGTCTCTCTCTCACTGTCCACTCTGCCTGTCAAAAAAAAAAAAAAAAAAAAAGATTTATTTATTTAAGTCAGCCCTTGACACAAGGGTTTGTAAAATAAAAGAAAATTTAAAAAAAGGAATAAATAAAAAGATTTATTTACTTATTTATTTGAAAGTCAGAGTCAGAGAGAGAAAGAGGAGGCAGAGAGGGAGAGAGAGAGAGATCCATCTCTTGGTTCACTCCCCAATTGGCTGCAATGGCCAGGGCTGTGCTGATTGGAAGGCAGAAGCCAGGAGGCCTCCTCCAGGTCTCCCACATGGGTGCAGGGGCCCAAAGACTTGGGCCATCTTCCGCTGCCTTCCCAGGCCACAGCACAGAGCTGGATCGGAAGTGGAGCAGCTGGGACTCCAACTGGTGCCCATGTGAGATGCCAGCACTGCAGGCGGGGGCCTCACCTGCCACGCCAAGGGCCAGCCCCTCGCTTGCTTGAATTTGAACCCAGGAATGCCTTCACTAGTATTCTTTAAAATACATATTGATCAAATAGGGGTTAAGGAGAAATTAGCTGTTAGAGTCAGTTACTTTCATTGAAACCTGTTGAGGGAATATTTTGACTTCTTAAGAACTGGGTCAGATGTACGTTCATTTGGCAAATATTTGATGCTTGGGCGCTGGACTTTGGGAATGCAAGTATCATTCACCAGTGTCCTGAATACTTCCGCCTAAAGGAGACGACTTCAGTGCAGGTGTGCTGAGCGTGGTAATGAAGCCACGCCAAGGGAGAACGGGTTCCCAGCCTAGAGTCCAGTGGTAGGAGATGATAGGGTTTATGGAAATATGTTACTGAAGGGTCAGTGGGGAGGACCGGGCACGTCTAGGTGGGCCAGTGGTTGGGGCGGGGGGGCTGACCGCGAGGTGAAGCTGTATCCAGAGGCCGAGGCCAGGTGCTGGGGAGGCACTAGCTAGGCAATCTCGAATAGAGTTCCCTCCGCTACCGTCCACAGTAGGACGTGGCCCCGTCATAATCCGTACGGGGCTTCCGGGGTCGAGCACTCTGACAGACGCGCGGTAAGCCCACGTTACAGCCAGCCTACAGCTCCGTACTGCGGGAGAGCCCACCGAGTGGGAGCCCCTGTGGCGACACCAGGACGCCGCGCGCGGGGCTGGCCAGTATTCGGGCTCCTTTCTGTCATTCAAGGGGCTGGGGGCGGGGCGAGGGAAGTCTGAGGATGTCCTTCCGGGGTGCCCGGGCCGGGCCAGGGAAGAAGACAGCTGGTTGACACCGGATGTGTTTTCTCCCAGGCTAAGTCCACCTTCCGGCCTTGGCCGCCGCTGCCGCGGAAGCCTCAACTCTAGTTTTCCGAGTCGGTAAGTGAACGCGAAGGAGGTTCGGCCGGTGGGGACGCCTGCGGCAGAGCCGAGCGGCTGGGCGCGGTGCCGGCGTGGCGTGGCGGAGCTGGTGCTGCGGTCCCCGGGCCTCCGGGGCCTCGCGCCTGCCAGGCTTAGCTGGGAGAGATCTGTCTGCGGCGCGGGGGGCTCTGCGAGGCCACCCGGGGTGCAGTCGCCGTTCTGCACCGGCTCAGTGTGAGCGCCTGTGCTGGGTGCAGGGAGACCGGTGAATCAGGCGCCGTCTCGCGGTGCTCTGGCGGCCGCCGGCTGTGGGGGTGACGAGAGGAGGAGTCACATTCAGTCTCGGTGGATTTGGGCTTAAAGGAGCCAGATGAGGAGGTGGACACGCGAGCGTAACAGCGGTGCAAAGGGGAATTCTAGACAGTGGCCGAAGTTTAGTACCGAAGGGGCTTGGAGCATGGAAAAGGGAAGAGCGGGAGTTAAAGCCACAGAGGTGGGTTAGGGCCAAACCCTCCAAGAGCCTTGCCTCGTTTCCTAAGAACGTTAGGTCTCTCGGAGGCGGAGGAGAGCGATGGAGGAGATTAAACAAGCAGAAATCAGTTTATTTTTTAAACTAAGGATTAAATAATGCCCATTTAAAGGGGATAGTTTGGATTAAAGGAGAGTGTGGTATGAAGGAGACCTCTTGGAAGACGTGGTGGTCGTCCTAGTGAACAGGAGTGAAGACTTGCAATGGTGGTGGGGAGTAGGAAGTGTGGAGATTAAGGTTTCTGACTTGGAGTGCCAGGTTGAGTCTCCTTTTGGTGATTGCTACGCTTGTTACTGGATGTTAAAAAGTAGCAACATCCTTACCACAAAGTACACAAAATGTGTGGAGGAGACGAGGCAGAAACTGTTAACTATTTATATCGTAATAAAAGCTATAACAAAAATATGAAAATTGTGTTACGATCTCACAGAGAAGTGCATTATTTTCTGGCTTTTGGGATGCATAACCCAGTCAGCACCTAGACTGGAATTTGCGTCTTTTTTTTTTAACCCATTGTGGGTTGGAGTTCTTTGGTGGGCAGGTGTTGTTTTTACTCCTGTAGCATGGGAGAGAGGTCCTTGCTTTTACACCCGGTGTTTGTGTTTTATCTTGCATAGATTGTGACCATGGCTGCTGAGTCCGACGTTCTCTACTTCCAGTTTGAACAGCAAGGAGATGTGGTCTTGCAGAAAATGAATCTGTTGAGACAGCAGAATTTATTTTGTGATGTATCAATTTATATTAATGACACTGAGTTCCAGGGGCACAAGGTGATTTTGGCTGCTTGCTCCACTTTTATGAGAGATCAGTTTTTACTCACACAGTCAAAGCATGTCAGAATCACCATCTTGCAGAGTGCAGAAGTTGGCAGGAAATTGTTACTCTCTTGCTACACTGGCGCACTTGAAGTGAAAAGGAAAGAGCTTTTGAAATATTTGACTGCTGCCAGTTACCTTCAGATGGTTCACATTGTGGAAAAATGCACAGAAGCTTTGTCCAAGTATCTGGAAATTGATCTTTCTATGCAAAACAACAACCAGCACACTGACCTCTGTCAGTCCTCCGATCCAGATGTTAAGAATGAAGAAGATAATTCTGATAGAGACTGTGAGATAATTGAAATTTCAGAAGATAGTCCCATAAACATGGATTTCCACGTTAAAGAAGAGGAAAACAATGCATTACCGTCTACAGTGGAGAGTTTGACATCAGAGAGAACAGAAATGAAGTCTCCGGAGCTGTCTAATGTGGATATAGGTTTCAAAGACAACGAAATTTGTATCCTCCACGTCGAGTCCATCAGTACAGCCGGTGTTGAAAATGAGCAGTTTTCCCAGCCTTGTACGTCTTCAAACGCGAGTATGTATTTCTCTGAAACACAGCATTCACTGATCAACTCTACAGTGGAGAGCAGAGCTGCAGAAGTTCCTGGGAACCAGGGTCAGGGCTTGGTGTGCGAGAATGCAGAGGGAAGTCACGGTGCAGTGAGCGAGATTCACAATCTGGAGGAGAGTTACTCACTGAGGCACCAGTGCCCCAGATGTCCCCGAGGATTTCTGCACGTTGAAAACTACCTGCGCCACCTCAAGATGCATAAATTGTTCTTGTGCTTACAGTGTGGAAAAACGTTTACACAGAAGAAAAACCTAAACCGCCATATTCGAGGGCACATGGGCATACGGCCCTTTCAGTGTTCCGTATGCTTGAAGACATTTACTGCTAAAAGCACACTTCAGGACCACTTGAATATACATAGTGGGGATCGACCATACAAGTGCCACTGTTGTGATATGGATTTCAAGCACAAGTCTGCTCTTAAAAAGCACTTAACTTCTGTCCATGGCAGAAGCAGTGGTGAAAAACTACCTAGGCCTGATCTCAAAAGGCAAAATCTTTTATGATTGGGACCACAGACTTGCTATATAAACCTTGTATCATTCTGTTAGGCAAGTCTTCCTTGGAAATGCAGTCTTTGTAATATTGTACCTCTTCCCCCCATCTTTAGGTTTTACATTTCATCTTCCTACACATGTTATTCTTTTTGAACTTCTAAAAGTTTGGAAGTGGTGGGAGGCATGATCTAGCTGAGGGATTCTGTTTCATCTCATACACTATGTGAAATCCCAGTAGCATACTTAGAGTAATGGTGTTACTCTCAAATCTTCTTCATGCTAATGACGGATGATCCAGTAGTATTTGTAGGTTCTGAATTAGACTTTCTAGATAATCAATTGCAGTGTAAAATCCAACCATGTAAGAACTTTAATGAATTCAGGTAACAAGAAGCAAAAGTCGGTGTAAGAACACTGCTAGTCATTTTCAAAACAGATAGGACTAGTAAAAAGTTGAGTTTTTTAAAATTTTAACCAACTGTTCTTGGGTTGTGAGATCACCAAGATACCTGTTGTCTTAATCTATAAAGAAACACGATTCTCAGTCACTTGAGAGTAGTATAAATTCCTTATAAAGAGTTGATATTCCATAAAATACTTTTTCCCCCATTAGTTATTAGTATACAGACTTTGGAAATAATTGGACTCATTTCTTGGTTTCATTTAATATAGTTGAATGTAATAATTTTGTGGCCAGTGGAATGATAATATTGACATGAAGCCACGAAAAGTTTTCTTGGAAATTCTGATTTTACCAAAGATAGTCAATTGTTCCTTTAAAAAAAATTCTAGTTTATTTTATTTTTTGTTTTGATTATACATGGTAAAATTTAGCTTTCTTTTTTGGTGAATGGTTTTATGAATCTTAACAAAGGTACTGATTTGTGTACCTACACTGCAGTTGGTATAGAACAGTTTGTTTACCCTCAGAAACTCCCTCATGCTGACCCTTTGTAGTCAAACCCTCTTGGCTATAAAACACAGCAACATTTCTTTGCTATACTTTTGCCTTTTCTGGAATGGCACATAAATGGAATCTTATGATATGTCCCATCTTGAGAGATTCTTTTTCACTCTGCTAATGCCTTTGGGGCTTACCCATATTGTGTGTATCAACAGTTCATTTCCTGTCTTATTTTAAGTTGCCAATATGGGTTAGTTCTAGCTGTCACTGGAGGAATAGTTTAAACACGGATAGCTTCTAGGGTTACAATTTTTTCACTTACATTTATGCCGTTTTCTCATTCATTATATGTTAACAAAAATCTTGAACATCCCTAGAATTTTATTCTGTTTCCAGCAAACTGCCAAAGGCAGTTTGTAGTGAGGCTAATATTTCAGATTGTATTCTGAGCTGTAGCTCTCTAACATCCCTGTATACATTACAATATGAAATACTTTTGCTGTCATAAGAAATATTAAAATATTTTACAGGGCAAATCACTTTCTTTAAGACACAGGAACTACTTTTAATAAAGAAGCCTGACTGGATAAATATTAAAATATTTTACAGGGCAAATCACTTTCTTTAAGACACAGGAACTACTTTTAATAAAGCCGCCTGACTGGATATATCTTTCTTTCAAAGTGTTCTATTCCTCTTCCATTGAACTCAGCTTTATGTAGAATTTCTACTGTATTCAGTTGCTATTGAAGCCCTGCCATATTTTAAAATGTAAATAATTTATACTGTTTTTATGAATTTTTTGAAGAATCATATGCTGATTGTTATATAAATGCTAATTATCCTTTTCGTGATACTTTTGTGAGAAAGGTATTCTTTATCACATTTTAACTTGGAGAGAGACTTTTTAAAAATCCTAGTCTCGTGTTTGATGAGAAAATTGACTTCCTGACCCAGGTCATTGGTGGGTGACATGGGGCAAGTCATCTTTCCTTGAACCTTTCTTAACTTTATGTATGTATGATAATAACAGATCTTGATAATTTGTAAGATCATTTCAAGATCAAAGGTTCTATCATTTTATACTTAATCCTTCTTGAGAACAGAGTTTTGTGTCTTCATGATCATTGGTATTTGAGTACTCCCTTGGAGACAGAATTTTTCTAAAGTAGTGTTTTTCTTCCACTGGATAATAGAAGAGCTCAGTGCTTAATTTTCTTTCCCATGTGACTTAATAGTGGTCATTAGTAGGTGTGAGAATACTTCTTTTTCAGAAATAGTTTACTTGTGATTGGAGTACTTATTTTTGCCTACTAGCGTGAAATTCAGGAGGGGAGGGCTGGGGATGGGAAGATAGGGCAAAAGAATAGTAAAAAACCTGATTTTTTAGGACTTGGTATCTACTAACTTGGATGTTTGAAGGCTTTTGGTTGAAACTATGTTTTAAGTTTCATGTGTGCCTTGTAAGATTGTTGTAAATTTTTTTGTGAGCACTTTTGAGATTTTTGCTTGGGGCGAGGGAGTTTTGTAAAAGTGATGGTTATTTATATTATTTATTCCTGTTCAGTAGCACAGAGTGATCCCAAAACATTCTTAGGAGAGTATCTGTTTGCATGATATGTCTTAAAATTTTTCAAGGAAATGAAATCTTTTTTAATATGCAGATATGGCAAAGAAAAGTGTAAAATTTATTCGTTTAAACCTCACTTTTAGTTGTCTTTCTTATATGACAGAAATATGCAATATGTTTGAATTCAGCCTCTTCATTTACTGCATTTATGTATAAAAAAAGATCTTGAAAAGGTAGCAGTTACTTTGTTGTAAGAGAAAAATTCTTCCCTTTTTCCTTGGATGTAATTCTTACATGTTTACATAAGAAATAAACTGGAGGTGGGAATGGACAATTTTGTGTTTTTCCTACATCTATGAGTTTTTAAGGACACAGTTGCTCTTGGATATTCTTTTAATTTATTATTTTAATTTGAGAGAGCGAGAGAGCTCCCATCCACTGGTTCAGTCCCTGATGGCCTGGCTAAAGTGGAGCCCAGAACACTATCCAGGTCTCCACGTGAGAGGGAGGAGCTCCAGTACTTGGGCCCTATTTGCTGCCTCTCAGGATCTTCATTAGCAAGAAGCTGGAATCAAGAGCTGGAGCTAGGTACTGAATCCAGACACACCAGGGTGGGTCATGGACATCTTCACTACGCTACATGCTTGATCTCTGCATGTAACTTTTTTTTTTTTTTTTTTTTGACAGGACAGAGTGGGCAGTGAGAGAGAGACAGAGATAGAGAGAAAGGTCTTCCTTTTTCCGTTGGTTCACCCCCAAATGGCTGCTGCGGCTGGCGCACCGCGCTGATCCGAAGGCAGGAGCCAGATGCTTCTCCTGGTCTCCCATGCCGGTGCAGGACCCAAGGACTTGGGCCAGCCTCCACTGCACTCCCGGGCCACAGCAGAGAGCTAGACTGGAAGAGGAGCCTCCGAGACAGAATCCGGCACCCCATCGGGGACTAGAACTCAGTGTGCCGGTGCTGCAAGGTGGAGGATTAGCCTATTGAGCCGCGGCGCCGGCCTCTGCATGTAACTTAAAAAAATATCTTTATTTATTGGAAACAGAATTAGAGGGAGAGAAAGATTTTCCATCTGCCTGCTGGTTCACTGCCCAGATGGCTACAACTGCCAGGACTGGGCCAGGCAGAAGTCAAGAGCTTCACCTGGGTCTCCCATATTGGTGGCAGGGGCGCCAACACTTGGGCCATTTTCCATTGCTTTTCCCAGGTCATTAATAGGGAGCTGGGTAGGAAGTGGAGCACACAGGACTAGAATAGGCACCCATATTGGATACTGGTATTGTTGGTGGCATCTTTACCTGCTATGCCACAACGCTGGCCGCCCCTCCCCCCCGCTATTATTTTAATCATTGATTTTAAGAAATACCGAGTCTATAATATGTGCTTGTCTCAGTTGATTGGACAGTGGGATGATGTTTCTCTTAGATTTGCATATAGTTCACAGAAGAGAATGAAAAAGATAGCAATGCGTAAGAAAAGCCTGAATCTCCAAAACTACATCTTTGCTTGCCATGCAGGCAGTAATAACCTCATTTTAAAAGTTTATTATAGTTCATAAGTTATTTTTACAACTTTTAATTCGTGGTGGATTTCTGATTTCACATCGGAAGGTTTTGAGTTTTATTAGAAGTCATGGTCGTTAACCTGTGCGGTTGAGTTTCTTATCAGTAACAAAGGACACACACAATCTGCCCTTTGGGTTATTTTGAGAACTAAATGAAATAGAATATTAAAATAAAACATATACCAAGTGGCTTCATCCCTACTCCCTTCATCCCTACTCCCAGGCTGATTCTTCATCTGTGGCGACGGTGTGATTCCTGCCTGCTAGTATGCTGTGAAAAATCCCTCAACAAATATTTAGATACATGGATAGAATTTGTGGTTAAATGTTTATCTTTGTTAGCTGTTGAGATTAGAAGTTTCCCTTCAATAAAGAGACAGGGATGTGGAAGGGCCTCCGGAGCAGACGCTTGTTCTGTTTTACTTAGGATTTTGCCCTTGGGAGATTACTTGACATCTGTGTAGAGGGCCTGTGGGATCTCGCCAACATTTCATGAAGGCAGAGGGAAGTAGATCGCAACAGATACATCTGACTCTTCCTAACAGCGCCTCTTTGCACGATGGGCGCAGACACTCGCTCGAGGTGCAGATGAACGTGCAGGGAGTTTCCCATCAACCCTTTCGGTTTGCCTAGTCCTCCTCACAGCGCCTCCCACAATGCTCCACGGCTCCCTCCTCACGTGATGGAGGCGGATCCGCCCGACCGGAGACAAACGATGCGCAGTTTAGGTGGCGGGGATTACTACGTTTTCCTTCCACCTCCCCAACTCCCGGGCTTGCGTAATCTCGCGTGATCTTGGGAGTATCTTCTCGCGAGATCTGGGTCGGGATCCCTCCAGGTCCGCCTCCGTGGTGAGGAGGAGGAGGAGAAAAAGGAGGAGGCGGAGGGAGGAGGAGGAGGAGGCCCCGTCGCGGCCTTCGCCGCCGCCAACGGGGCTGTCCCTGTAGCTCCCGATGGAGTTTGAGGCCGTGAAACCGCCGCCGAGCTCTGCCCCGGCGAGACGAGGCGCCTCCGTCGCCGAGCCGCGCCGTCGCGGGGCTCCCGGGAGCGGCCCTTAGCGACCCCGCCCGGGCCCCCTCAGGTAGGGCGGGGCGGGCACGATGCGGCTCGGGCCCCGGACCGGGTGCCCGGTTCCCCGCTGCCGGGCCGGGAGCCTCGTCCCTGCCGGGAGGCCTGTGCGCTGTCGCCGCCGGCGCCCCGAGGGCTGGGGACCTGAGGGCCGCACCTGACACTCGGACGGAACCCGCGGCCTAGGGAGGCCCCTCTGTCGGGTAGGGCTGTTTTCGATGCGGAGCGACTGGCTCCAATGGCCACCTTCCTTCGACACTGGCCGAGGGGCCGCCTCTGACCCCCGCGGAACCCACCCGAGCCAAGGCCAGGCTTCCCTCTCCGCGCTCTGCACCGGCCGGGGAGAGAGGCTTTGGTCCTCGGAACGAAGTCTTCTCTTAGCTTTCGGGCTTTCCGCCCCGGGGCTGCTAGAGACCCTGGCCGCAGGGATGGTGGAGGCGATCGGAGTGGCAGCTAGGGACCCCGGCCAGACAATGCCCCGGGAGAGCGGCGCCCCGTCCCCGGGGGAGACGGCCGGCCCGGAGCGGCTGCTCGCTCGGGGGATGTGACTGGAGCAGTGGCACGAACACAGCCAGGCGGCCCTGCCCTGGCTTTCTGCTCTCCCTCTTTGCCTTCTCCTTCTTGGGGAAGCCTCTTGAGGAGCTTCTTCCACCATCTTAGAAGAATGGTAGAAAGCATCTTTGTTTCTCAGGCTACCAGCTCTACTTTTCCCTGCGCTGAGCGCCCAGGAAGGAAGGAGCTGTCATTTCCACCCTTCGGATCCCAGGGGAAGGGGGTCAGGCCCCGGCGGATGCGACCTGCACACCACAATAGTCTCCCGTCCTCACTGACAAAGTGCAGCGAACCCAGTGGTTCCCAGCCCGTGTTGTATTTCCATAACTACCTGGCTCCCCTTCTTCCCTGATTCCTACTCGTCATCCTCATCAGTTCCCTTGTTTTTAATTTCTGCTGCTCTCCGCCACCCCCTGGGATGAGAATGATTTTGTGTTCCCAGTGAAGTGCTTAAGCAATCTAAGCAATCTTTTTCAGTTTTGTTTTTTTGGGGGGGGGGGGGGGCGGAGGTGGTGGTGGTCAAAGTTCCAATAAGAACTTTTTGATCAGGTGGAGAAAGCTAATGTTGCTACACCAAAGCGATAGAATTTTACCGGAAAACAAAAGAAAGCATGTTTTACTTAGATGGTGCATATTATGGTTCAATGTATAGACTTAGTTAAGACTTTCTGAATCGTTGAGAATGGTGTGTGGATTCTCTTGTCCTCTTTTATCTGGTTGAAGAGCTACACCACTCTGCTAACCTCAGGTCCCTGCCTTCATATTGTTTACTTCCACATTCATTGCTTGAAGAAACAGAGCCATTACATCCTGTTAAAGATTGTTTTTCAACGTTTCCATTTTTGTTGATTTGGAGATGAGATGAGTGTTTTCCACATTTGGGAGTTTGAAAAATGGCTAGAAGCACAAAATGTTAAGCATATATTAGTCATGTTTAGATGATCAAATGTTATTGTTCAACCAAGTTTTTATTCTGTGAGAATTTCACTGCAGTGGTGTCCACGAGTGGATCCTTTTCAGTCACTTCTGATGTGGTATTGTGTTAACCTGACAGGAAGACTGACATCCTTTGTTCATGTTTTCATTAATTCACTTTCTGCTTTTCTGATTTGCTGTCTTGTAGTTTGAAACTAGTCAACAGAAGTTCTTTCGGCAGTGCATTTGCCTTTACATTCAGAACTTTATATTCAAAAACAGAACTTCTCTATTATATGCAACAGCTAACAATGCTAAATAACAACAAGGTCAAAATAAGTAATTGCTTATCATGTTGGTTGAGATAGATTGGAGTTTAACTTTCTAGTGATAGAACAGGGAAACTTAGTCAAAAAAAAGCTATCTGAACGTTAAAAATAAATTTATATTTTGCACCCAGTTTCAATGAATATTGTAAGTTTTGTGATTATGACCAGGTTCTTCTAATTTGACAGCCTTCTTAAGTGTGTTTTACCTCAAAATTCTTAAGAATTTGTATTGTGTATTACTTTATATTCTTAATTACATTTTTTATTTGTATAAGTGGAACAAAGTTCATTTATCTCATACATAGAGTTTTCAGAACATAGTGACACTTCTCACCCCATTACTTTATATTCTTAAGTACTCTACTGTTGCACTGTCCAATGTTAGCAAATAGCCATGTGTGGCAGTTGAAGACTTGAAATGTTGCTAGTGTGAATCCAGATATGCTGTAAGTGCAAAATATACACCAGAGTTTGAAGACTTAGTACAAAGCAACTTTTATATCAATTTTTATTTTGGTTACATGTTGAGATGATATTTTGATTAAATTGGATTAACGAAAATATGTTATTTCATCTATTTTCTATTTTAACTTTACTGTAAGAAAATTTTAAATTACTTGCACTAGATTTGAATTGGACTTTGCTGTCTTAGAGCAGCACTACTCTTCCAAGTAAAAAATTAATAAAAGTAGACCTATGAAAACCAAAAACTTGCTGATAGAATTCTCTTGTAATCAGAATAGTCAAAGGACTAAAAGGTTTGGTAATGAGATGATAAAGTTATGCAGAAGCCCTTTAAAAATCACTGTGTTTCAAGCCTACACATCACTAACGAAGCAAAACTTTATTATATTAATTAGAATAGAAGGTTGTTCCATTATTTCCCTGTAAGAATGCATTGATGG